GTGGAGGACGTGTCTCAGGCCTATCTTTAGCCCCAGCTCAGTTGTTAAAGCAGTTTCAAATGGCTCCTCATCACCAGGACTCTGGGTCAGTAATAACAGTCTGTGGTCTTCATGACTCACCGGGTCAGACTCCGGGCTGGAACCCACACCCTGTGGTCCACTCCCAGACAACATGGCCCAGAGCTGGTGTTCTGGAGCTGAGGCTGAAGAGATGCAGAGACAACACGTCAGTCGCTCTGTCTGTCGCTCTGTCTGTGGTGAGGTGGACAGACCAGAGCAGGTGAAACTTTACAGCATAGAAGCTTCTGGAACAGCTGAGCCCTGAGGGGGAGGAGGGGGGAGTTCACAGAGTTCATGGTGTGAGTCTTCTCTTCCTTCTCAGAGCACCTCTGCTGGAGTGGTTCCGTACCTGGGCACTTACCTGACCGTCCTCACCATGTTGGACACCGCGCTGCCCGACACCGTGGAGGTAAACACCGCACTGAAGGGGGCGACGGGTGACACAGTCTCAGGTCAAAGGTCAAAGACACGAGTGTGCAGTGGTCAGATGACGATCCACTGGTTTTCTATGAACAAAGATGGAAAAAAAACAAAACCCAGGAGTGAAGTAGAGGAAACAGCGACACCTGTGGTCATGTGACAGGTTTTATTGTCTGATCCTCAGGTTTTATCAGGTGTAAAATGAAACTCATTCTGATTCGCTCACCAATCAGGACACATCATTGGTCAGTGATAGTTCAATAACAGATTAAAAATTCAACATTTTTGTTCATGAAATAAGATTTACTTTAAAGTGGAATTTTATAAAAAGCACATTTTAAGTTTATAAAATAATGATTTTATTTTATTTTATTATTGATGCAGTTGTTGATCATGTAACTGATGACCCCCCCCCATCTTTTGACAGGGCGGACTCATCAACCTGGAGAAGAGACGGAGGGTGAGTGTTTGACACACACACACACAGATGTGCTGTGTGTGTGTGTGTGTGACTCAGTTATGTAACGGTGCAGCTCCTCAGGAATTCTCACTCCAGCGTTTTTTTCCTCCGACTCCAGGAGTTCGAGGTTCTGTCCCAGATCCGTGTCCTGCAGGCGTCGTGCTCGCAGTACAACCTGCCCCGTCACCCGAGGGTCGCGGCGTGGCTGCAGAGATACAGGCTGCTGACCGACCAGGAGAGGTGAGGTCAGGGGAGGCAGGGGGGGGGGGGGCCGTCAGGGTAGGTAATCCTCCAGAACCCCGGGTCCAACTCCACAACTCTGCTGGTACGGGGTGTCAGTGGGTTTGGTAAGGCCCTGGAGCAGGAACCGTCCAGATCAGGTTTCTGACCTTCTGACCTTCACACCTGACAGCAGATATTTGCCTGTGGTACACACTGGAGTACACAGTACATACTGTGCAGTACTTTTTACTCTGTTGTTGTTCTTATGAATCTTTGAAGCCCGCGGATACGTTTGGTGTTAATATGAGTGTGTGTGTGTGTGTGTGTGTGTGTTTGTCACAGTTACGAACTGTCCAGACGACTGGAGCCCCTGGTGGACGTTTGTTCACCGACGGTCTGGAGCCACCAGAGACTGTCCAAGAAACTCTCCAGGTCTGTGTATGTGTGTGTGTGTGTGTGTGTGTGTGTGTGTGGGGGGGGGGTCCAGTTCTCTGATGGTTCTGACTCTCTCTCTCCCTCTCCCTCTCTCTCTCCTCAGCCTCCTGGCAGTGAACAGTGGCTCAAAGAAAGTTCCTCCAGATCAGATCAGCGTCTCCTCCTCTGGGTCCAGTGGATCAGAGCTGGGGGAGGATCTGTCCTCCCCCAGCTCCAGCTGCTCCATCAGACTGCAGGTAAACAGCCATGGTGTTGTTGGTGAGAGGGTCCGCCTGACACCCGTGCCTTTACCCCCCCTCAGTCCCCCCCCAACACCCACAGTGTCGTTGTTGTTCTTTGTTCCAACGTTGACTGTTGACAGTCGACAAACAATCGTTTCTTTTCAAGTTTTCAAACATCGCCTGGAGAAAAGACAAGATGTTCAGTCTGGTGTTTACTGACTGTAATGATGGAACTGGACTGGACCAGTGACGGAACTGGTCTGGACCAGTGACGGAACCGGTCTGGACCAGTGACGGAACTGGTCTGGACCAGTGTTTTAATAAATACTGATGTTTATATAAAAGTTCTTTTTTCTTTTTCCTGCAGTGTTTTCAAAGTTCAGGCCACAATGACTCCTCCACCTCCTCCACCTCCTCCTCCTCCTCATCCTTGTCCTCTTCAGCGTCCTCCTCTCCTGAAAGCCCCCCTCCCTCCAGCTCCTCCCCCGACTGCCCCCCAGCTCCGTCCCAGGACGGTTCTGGGTCAAAGCCCGGTCTGTCGGCTCACAGGCGCTCGGCGTCCATGACCTCGCTGCCCGTCTACAACCGTCAGGTGGCCGACTCCTGCATCGTCAGGGTGAGCGTGGATCTGCCCCAGAGCAGGGGCAACATGTACAAAAGCATCCTGGTGAGTTCTGAATTAAAATGAAAAAAAAAGTCTGAGCTGATCAACAATCAATCATTAATTATCACTAATTACTGCTGTAATTCAAACAGCTCTCTGCACTCTGACAAAGTAATCGGTTCTTAGTACTTTAGGTGTTCACACTGAAGCTGTGATTATTCTTCTCAGGTAGAAACCTGTGTGTGTGTGTGTGTGTGTGTGTGTGTGTGTGTGTCACAGTTAACCAGCCAGGACAAAACTGCTCAGGTGATTCAGAGGGCGTTGGAGAAACACCACCTGGAGCACATGGAGTGGCAGGAGTTCACCCTGAAACAGGTCATCTCCCAGGACAGAGGTCAGAACCAGACCTGATCCCAGAACCCCCCCACCCCCCTCCTCCTAAAAAAAGTCTCCTTTTGATGTTTATTTCTGATCTTTCTACCTGCAGAGTTGCTCATTCCAGACAAATCCAACGTCTTCTACGCCATGTCCACGGCGGCCAACTTCGACTTTGTGCTGCGACCGTTGCCTAAAGGACAGAAGAAGCCACTGAAGGCCACGTCCAGCCTGGGACGGTTCACGAAGCAGCAGAGAGTCGTCACCTGAAACTGGAGAGACGTGGGAACGACGGGAACTCCCTGGAGAGTTCTCTTCATCTTTAATTTATATCAAGGAAAAAAATCTGTTTCCTGCTACATCTGTAAATAATGTAAATGCACTTTATGAAGAAAATGGAGCAGCGCCTCAAAGAAGTCATTTCTTGACTTCAACCAGTGGTAACACACACACACACACACACACACACATACACACTGACTGAAGAAATCCCTGCCTCGGACTCTCAGCCCTGACTGGACAGATGGCATTCCTAAACTTTTTTGGTCGTTATGACATCGGCGGTGGCAGCAGCAGCAG